TCATCTAGTGATTCTTGGAATTCCGTTACTGTTCTCCCGTTCGAGATACGGACTGCTCTAAACTCTTTATCACAAAAAAAGAGTTCCCTTTGTCGATCACATTTTTTTGCCTATCGAAGTACAACGATAGCAGACGTCAACAGGCAAGCAGCACCGTCTTTCACTTGTCGTCCCGTACCAGTAATTAGCTGTGGCACATATGCGGTGGCTTCCGTTATTTCGGCAGTTTGTTGTTGCACCAGTCAAGATCGTAAGTAATCACTTGCAGCCAATAACTACGATGTTATGGTTGTCAGTAATACCCAAAGAACTCGATTTAGCCTAGGGTCAACTTTCACGCTTACGAAGTTCCTGTATTAAAAGTACGACAACCGTTGCTGAAGTTCACTCCCAACATTGGACGTCCCCTGTCTTCCAGTTCTGGAAGTTCAGGGGAGGGTACGCAGGTACTGTATAGCTCATTCTCGAATTGATAGACAGTTTCTCTAGGAGAGTCTTCGGAGAATTCTTGAACTTCTTAAGGTACTGTATTATGGCCGTTTCTCGTCTTGAAACTAACCCATAGGTTTCTGGTTCCTCCATAAGGCAGGTAGATAACTATCCTCCCATACACCAAATCCACAGGTTCTAAGACTTCTCTCCACCCCTACTCAGTAGGGTCAAGTAAGGACTTCTGTTTTTATCTATTCGCCCTCAAAAGTCACAGAAGAACAGCCTCAAAGTGATAGGTTAAATAGAAAGCTTCCCCAATTTTCTTTCGTTGTCTTTTCCTTCTTCTCTTGTGTTCAATAGCTGAATTAGCTGGCAAACCGATCAATAAATCGATACGCCTACAGATCCTCGATATTTCCAGGTATTTGGAGGAAATAGGTAGTTTTTTTGTGATGATCCGGCATCGTCTTTCCTCGGCACCTTGGAATTTTTCACTAAAATATTTATTGGTGGACCGCTAGATGGACCGATCAATATCAATCGATTACTATTTCAGAACACTGGCGCTGCGAATGCCTCGTTGCGACAGATCTCTGACGATGCCTTCTACGTTGTCAATGAGGTTGTGATGAAACGCCTCGGCCATGTGCCGATTCATAAGGTTCGTTTCTTATCCTTTTGATTTGGTTACAGTTATTGATTGATATTGATTGTTGCCAATGATGGCAGTCTGTAAGGAAATCGGCATAAAAGCTTTTTATGATTCCGCCATCATTAACCATTTCTGAACTGTATTGCTAATAAGGCGCGTCCGCGTCAAGCTGTACTATCCGTTATAGTCAGCCTGAACGGTTGAATTCAAAACTGAGGGTAAACATCAAAATCAGAAGGAAACTGATATTTATTGATTGATTTGTAATCTTGGTGGACTCGTTGTTTTGATTGCATAGAAGTACTGTTTATCTTATGTGTATAACAGGCAGAGGTATCACGTGAACGACCTGTACCCACTCAGGAGAAGTAGTGAAGCAGAGGACGCAGTCTCGTTCTAAATGAGCTGTGGGTTCGGGCATAGATAAAGTCATCGGGATTGGTGCCTAAATTGGTTTTGTGCTACTTCTAGGGCTGCGCCACGCATGTGTTTTTCACCTGGTATCGTAATCATGGAGTCACTGTCCAGTCGCTATAGTATCTTGACTTTTTCTTGAATTTCGTTTCGAAGGTGTCCCGTTGTGGATTGATTTCGAGGCTAGCCAGCGCATTGGGCTCCACTATTCAAATCTTTCAGACTTTCCCTTGAAGGCCCCGTTAAAGTTTAGTTTTCGCAGCCAGCCATGGTTTCCCTGCATTGGCTTCCCTATATATGGGATACCCCAGTACGATATGACTCTCCGCACTAGGAGAAAAATGCTGTCCAGAATTAGGAGAGCTCGAAAAAAAGGTTGTTGATTGGGAAACGAATTCAAGGGGGCTATAATTCGATTCTCCTCTTCGAATACGGCGAAGATGGAGCAGGGCGAAAAACGGCGTTTCCGTTACGCTCATAGTTCGTGGATCAGTCCCAACCAGGTGTGTTGAGCCTTACCTCACTGAGTTCAGTAAATTGAACAGAACATGTGACAAAAGAAAACTTTCAACTGGTTATCCCAGTCATAACGGCTTTGTCAGATAGCTTGTTCGTTCCGAAACGTGGAACATTCTAGAGGGAGATTGATTGATGGAGAGTTCAGTCGCAGACTACTCTGATTTTAAAAACCATGCCAAAATGGCAACTCTCTGTGCAAATGGCAATTCTTTACAGTCTAGAGGGTCAAAGACCCAACTGATAATGATAAGTACCTAAATATATTCAGTTATCAGAAGATATTCTTTTATTGATAAAGGGTAACGACCAGTCTTTGATGACCCTTGCCCTATCCGCGTGTTCACCGCCGTTCTCTCGTACACTATGGCCGGCGATGATTTGCAACGACAGGTGACGGGACTGGAAATGATGAGAGATGCGCCGATAGAACCACTGGATAGAGACTTCGAGTAAAATACATTGCAGGGTTTTGTCGTTTATCAGGAAGTGGTTATCCTGATGGATGAACTTCAGGGAACTCTTGCCGTATAGGGGTTTTACAGCCTATCGGGAGTAGCAGCCAGGAATTTCCCGATCTTCCTTGTCTACTATTTGGTGATTCTTCTGACCGTGTGTGAGCTTAACAGCTTTCGATAACTCTTGGAATGGGAGAACTTTCAAATGAAATAGTGGAGCCAGTTTAGAACAGAAACCATCGGCTCGTTCCAGTGAAACACCCAATTTTATTCAAATCCGGTGGTTCGAATATTTGGGGCTCCGTTGCTATGTGGTGATCAGGGCACGAATAGAATCCCCCTAATACCAGTTCGCAATCATTCGGCCCCGGCTAATCCATGTGATGTCCTCTGAAGGGAAATTGCTGTGTCACTATTAGTGAATGAGGTTTATGCTAGTTCTGCAAAACATCAATGAGAGGAAACTACCAGGGACCGATCTCGGGCCATTTCAACGTGGTCTCGATTAAATAGCTATAAAGCTGATTGTGAGACCTTCGAGTTGGTTGTAAGTGTCCTTCGTGTTCCGCTGTGGCTTCGCCGCCCCCNCCCCCCCCCCCCCCCCCCCCCCCTCCATCCCCCACCACAAAGAACATTGTCTTCGAAAGGTATAATGACTTTGACATCGCTCGAACCATGGGCTAGTGACTGGACACCAATACCCATCTTGCGTTTCCCCAAGCTGTTGTATTAAATGTAAAATTAAAAAATTATTGACCCCGAATCCCTGAATCCTGAGATGCCCGGGGTTGGGACATATTAAACAGCATTCTAAACCCCAGTTTGGAGGAAAGTTTTGCCCATGGGGCAGCATTGATGTCTCAGTTTTGATTTTTCATTCCTATTTTTTTTCTGGCTGAGCAAATTATGGATATAACCATTTGGCTATGGAAAGTGTGAATGGGGACAGATGGATCGGGAATGGGGATTGATTGATGGGTATTAAGAGAAAATTATAGCCAATTTATGGGTACCATTCCGAAAATTCCCTTCGATTTCCACAACAAAAGTCGTGAGATAGGGTCATTAGGTCCGATAGAGTACATTTTATTCTGTCGCACGCTGTCACGATATGGATCCCGATAGTTCTACCCCTTGGGTTAATGTGCATTGAGAAGGTGCCTTACTACCTTACCTGCCTTACTTTTGCCCTTCTGTTGGAATTACCCACCTACAATATCACTCGTATGTGGCCTGTTCCACGAAATTCTACCGTAGCCATGAGGCCTCCTGGTGGAGCAGCGGCTCCAGGCGCCACGAAGAACCGGACTTAATGTCACACAGGAACAGGCTACTGTGGGTGGGCGCATTCTGACGGTGGAACATCCTAGGCACGGCAAAGTAGACCTAAATTCGCAAACACAGACGGAATGTTGTGTTGGCGTAATGTAAAGGGCATGTGTCCCCCGCACACGCTGCCCATTTTCAAGGGTGGTCCGAGTTGCCGAGATGCGGGGGTTTCCCACCCAACCTTCAGAGCTGCCCAAATGGGTGAACGGGTATTGCTAGGGTTTGGGTGGCGATGACTATCCGGCAGAGGTACCTCTTAAGGTCTGTTTGTTCTTTGTATGCCCCGATAATGTGGCAGCCCAGATGAATCGCTGAACAGTCAGCAAAAGTGGAACATTGGCCAGCCAGCGGGGTGTACTTTTGTTTTGCCCCGTGTCTTTCATTGACAACATTTGCAAGGGACAGTGATAATGCAAAGAAAATCGATGACTCAAGCACTGGTGATATCATTGAATCAATAATCGATCCTAAAACTGCACAAAACGAGTTTTTATAAGGTCTATGAATAACCTTAAACAAAATATTCAGTTTCGAAATTTTAGTTGATCCTGTCCAGTGAGTTGTTGTTAGTTTATGGAGGGGGTTTGTTTTTGTTGCAAAGGGTATTTACTCCTATCGGCTCTTATCAGTCCATAGCGGTTTTCCTTTTACGAGTGATGATGAAACCAAGAAACTGATAACATCGACGATTCCAAGGGCAGGGAAGGGGAATCCGTCGGCAATGGCAACTATTTTGCTATATCACTCTATCGATTAGCCCCTGATAACGATAAATAGTGGCTGGGCTATTTTGGGCAAGTGTTGTGCATAAATGACACTTTTGTTGCAAGGGCTAGGTCGGGGACTAGGAACGACTTATCTGTGAAAAAGGTTTGGGGTTATCGTCGACCGTTATCTCGTGGGGTTGGCTGCAAGAGCTAGGCCCGGGTAAGAATGACTTATCTAGGGTAGAAGTCTGGGGTCATAGTCGACCAATACTTAGCGGGGATACAGGTGTTGATGCCCTCATTCCAGTTTGATGGCATTCCATCTATAGATCTACAGGACCACCTATACTCTGAGGAGGCTTGTGGTCTACTTGGTTGGCTTCAAGCAGATTAGTGTTGGCCATCTGAAACGTTAACATTATTGTTCATAAAGTCATCCGAATAGGCCTCAAACCTCTCCAGTAAAATAGCTGGCCTTGTGGATTTCAGTTGATGGAATGCGATAAAAGCAGTTGGACTGGAATTCAGGTGTGTTTCATGGAAAGCGAACAAAATTGAAGACCGAGCCAACCTTGGGCCTAGATGGTAAGACTGAGAGGAGCTGAGATATTGTAGAGCGGCTTGCTTATCGAGGACTCAGCACTGTTTCCAGGTCAAAAACTGGAAACAGTGCTGAGTTTCCTGTATCACCAAGGTTGGTAAAGTGAACGTTGATGTTCGGTCCCCCTACTAGAATAACCCCTGGAATGAGTTGATTGTATAGGTACTGGTACGGAGGAGCGAGTAGCTGAAGCTGGCCTAGAAGATGCGCTATGCTGCTTTTAGCCTCTTTCTGAGATGCGCCACGGATCCCTATCTTTTTAGAAAGTCAATGATGCGTTTGGCATTTTTATACGACGCCATGACAACCACTGAGCAGCTCTGCGTTTGGGTATCTTTAAGAACCATAAGTTGGTTTATTTGGGCTTGGTTAGGTCTAACACCCAATTGACATGCGATAGCCAACATTGGCACTGTTTCGAATCGAAATCCCGGACATCCCGAAATCTGCAATTATCGGTACAAAAACTAAGTAATATTGGTATGTATTTGCCTGCCGCTGCGCTCATAATGAGGATCCATCTTCTAGAAGCTGGAAAAGGTAGGAGGTTTGTAGCGACCTTAGGTTACTCATGGACTCGATGGTGACTCGCGGGTTCGCCGAGTGTGAATGTAACCATGGCTTATCTTCAGATACGGAATGTTACACTTTGGTTGTAGACAAAGTAAGAAGCTGTTTCGAAATTGATTTATGGCATTTTTTTCTATATGGATAAGAATTCAAGATATGACTAACCGAGGAAAAGCGCTAGCTCAGCAATTTGTCAGAAGCGATTAACAGTTGGGATTTTTTTCCAATCAACTATTTGAGAAGGCACTGCCACGTGGTGCTATCAGTAAATAGACAATTTTGCCCAAAAAAGTAAATGATTGTTCTGCTGTTGGTGGGCTAATTCGCAAAGCTAACAATTCTCGCACCACGAAGGGGTCTATGCAAGACCCAAGTGATCGGGCTCTCTGCGATGGTTTGCAGATGGTACCACTTTCTCGTAAGGAGGTAGATCTCTATCATCGTTCACCTCTTGGGAGATCTTCAGGCTGAGTAAACTCTACTTGACCGGTCCTAAATTGCTGGTCTTAGCCAGCTATAGGGAGTGCCCAAGATGGAACTGTTTGGGCACTACCTCAGTGCACTTATTAGACCTCTACCCTAATGCTCGGCGCCGTTTTCACGGTAGCAATCGTAGTAAGTGAATGTCGAATTCATCGAGATCTAGGGCACGGGTATATGATAGATCACTCCCTTGTTGGGACCCATCCTCTAGCCATGGCGGAAAAATAGCGGTAGGGTTATTATGCGCTGTGTGTGTGTGCAGCTGCATGCAGCTCGAAAGCAGCAGTGTTATTTTTTCTCCTATCCACATGGAAAAACACCTAGACGGGTCAAAAATTTATGGATGTGCTAGAAATACTTTGATAGCGGAGACAATCTTTTATGACAGGCAAATTCATCATACCTCGGAAAGTCAAAGGAAAGGTAACAGCAATGGGTAAAACAGGTCATGATAGTTGAGTTTAGAAGTATTTAAATTGTCTCCTCTGACGTACACTATCCTATCTTATCCTGTCCTACTCTACCCAATCCTTCCCTATATTAACTTGACCTCATGTCCTACCTTCAGTATCGTGCATAACTCCACTATATTGCTCTAGAGTATCATACTCTAGCCTACCTTACTGTAGCCTACCTTGCTCGCCCTACTTTGCTCTAGCTTATCTTACTCTGTCTACTTCACTCTAGCCTTCCATACTCTGGCCTACCTTACTTTGCCCTACCTTGCTCCACCCTACTTTTCCCTCCTATCCTAACCTATTATTCTATACCCTACTCTGCCCTACTCTCCCTACTCTGCCCTACTCTGCCCTACTCTGCCCTACTCTGCCCTACTCTGCCCTACTCTGCCCTACTCTACCCTATTCTACCCTATTCTACCCTATTCTACCCTATTCTACCCTATTCTACCCTATTCTACCCTACTCTACCCTACTCTACCCTACTCTACCCCGCCCCGCCCTGCCCCTCTCTAATCTGACCTCGTCTTGAACCACATTTGCTGAAGTCCTCGAGCTTGGAGGGTTTGACCATCATGAAGAAGGGGTACTTCAATTCCCGAACTTCGATCGTCTCCAGCATTGCAAAGACACGAGGCGATTCTCCACCTGCTATCAGACTTATAAAACGAGATATCCATGGGCGTAAAAATCTGAATGGCTACTTAGGCTTAAAACAAAGCCAAGGCGTGACTGGGTGATTTCCCCGGGGATGATTAATCTGTGTAATGGCTCGAAGGCTCGTGTATACAAACACGAAGGGAACAACTAAGAGCTGAAGGAATTTCCAAGGAGAAAAGAGTCAAAGCTTATGGGGGAGTAAAGCTTCGAAGCTTCAAGTATCAACTAAAGCATGAAGGCACAATCCCAATCGAATAAATTCGTCTGTGGACTATTCGGTAATTATGTGGGCATTTTTGATCAGCATTTAGGCTGAATAAAGAGTACCTTTATTTTTGGGGTGTCATCTTATTTTACCAAAGAGATTCTAGAGAGCGGAAAGTCATTAAATCCACATCACTACTGCTCTGTAGTGAGAATTTCGTTATGAACGGATTTGGCACGAGTTTTGCTCCGAAAAAGGATTTCTCACTCCATTTTAACGAACATTTTCCTAAAGAAATCTTTTCCAGGGCGATTTCCACTTACTGCCACCGAAAGTCCAACGTTTTGTGGCCGAAAAGGCGGAATTAATGCGTCCACGTGGTGAGTTGTTATTGCTGCTAAACGGGTTTCGGCCTGAGATTGCTGTGCCCGCGTGGCCTAATGGATAAGGCGTCTGACTTCTAATCAGAAGATTGTCGGTTCGATCCCGGCCGTGGGCTNCACGTTTTGCTTAGTGATTTTCATTCTCATTTAGGCATTTACATCTGCGATGGAAGTCAACATGAAGCTGATGAGATCATCGACAAATTGATTGAACGTGGTATGCTATCTCCATTGAAGGCATACGAGAACAACTATATCTGTCGTACTGATCCCAAGGTTAGCAGGAAGCGGATGGGAATCAATTACGGATCAATCAATAAATCAATAATCGTATGTGTTCCAGGATGTGGCTCGTGTTGAGTCGAAGACATGGATGGTCACACCGGACAAGTACCAAACCGTATGCCACACACCGGACGGTATTGAGCCAATCATGGGTCATTGGATGTCGCCCGATAGTCTGGCCACTGAACTGGACAGCCGATTCCCTGGCTGTATGGCTGGTGAGTGCTTCTCAGTTCGGAATCATAGGCCTAGTTACAGCTTTCTTCTATTGGAAAGAGAGGATTTTTCGAAAAGGCGACTTCTGGGGCGCTTTTTACTCGACTGGCATCACAGGGAGAAGCTGCTTCCCAAGTGGTAGTGGGAACTGGTGTGTTGGGCCATCCAAAAACCGCTGTCTTCGAATTTTTGTTTTCGAGCTAAGTTTAGATAAGCAGAAACTTTGCAGGAGGGTTTTTCGAATCTCATCCGGAAGCATAAAAATCATGTGCACAACTGTTCAGCGTATGTTGTAAATGAGTTGGGATTGGGAAAATCAGAGTCAAGCAAGCAGGGAGGCCGAAGGGGGTGAGATATCAGGGAAGAAAGGAAAAGTATGGAATTTCCTTGCACCCGTGCTAGGATATTCTGAGAAAGTTACCCAATCATTGCGTAGGATTTGATTTTTCGAAGAAATCCTGAGTCAGTGATAGTTATGATGGGTTGACAACCTCTTACCCAAGGGTTACCCAGAGCAGGTATACTATAAAAGACATAATCAATGACATGACAAACTGGAGTGATTCATTAATACTTCTCGAAGGATTATTTATCAAAAGACATAAAATAAGAATTTGGGAGGCTTCGATCGATTATTGATTAATTGATTTAAGGTCGTATCATGTACGTGATTCCCTTCTCTATGGGACCCGTTGGTGGACCTTTGTCAAAGATTGGAGTGCAGGTATGTTTTACTATCTGGAAAAAACTCACTAACCATCACTCACCACTGATAAGAGGGGTCGAGGATAGGACCGAGTATCGTACCCAGCTACGGTAGTTTGATCTGTGGAGATAACCTAAGCGTAGCAGTACACAGCGTGGTCTTGATGGTCATCAGAAGCAAATGGGATTTCTCCCTTGTCGTTGGGTTAACCCTCGCTGAGACTTAGCGATAACCGGCGGCATCAGGCGACGGTTACGACGCAGTTTTCGTTCTAGCTTTTGCGTTTTATTTTGCCATTTCCAGCGGAATTGCCCAAATTGATCCACAGCGTAGTTTTAGTACCACAGCCTTCATCACATCCCCACTTGGGGACAGTGCATCAGTGGATTTCACCAATGTCACCCCTGTTGTCCCTGTTTTTTTCCAGTCTTAACTATATTTGCCCATTGGGTGGAAGCAATATGTTTTCTACCTTGACAGTATTGCAAAATCCTCCCAGTTTGCCGTTTATAGTAGGCGAAATCGATATTTGTCTGTTCAGTTGACTGATTCGAACTATGTGGTCTTGTCAATGCGTATTATGACTCGTGTCGGTCACGAAGTATGGGATGCATTGGGTGATAACGACTTTGTACGATGCATCCATTCAGTCGGACTGCCTAGACCAGTAAAACGTGAGTGTTTGTTCGATAATGACTGACTGGGGTCATTAATCACTTTGGACTTCTCTGGGAAAAAGTTCTCTTCATTAGAGTTTCGGTTTTGCTGTAATGTTGTGTATGAATGTTCATTTTTACCCGGGCACCTAGCGAAGTGATAAAATTGGGTAATTGTGTGGTAGTCTCGCCAGTATTTATTGTCTTTCAGAGCGTGTCATCAATCATTGGCCATGCAACCCTGAACGTGTACTGATCGCTCATCGACCTGCAGAAAGGGAGATCTGGTCATTCGGATCCGGTTATGGAGGCAATTCATTGCTCGGTAGGAAATCTGTTTTTTTTTCCAAAAAATCACGAGAAATTCAATGTTTGCAAGGTTCAAATCCATGATTTAAGCTCTTCAATTTGCACGAAATGCGTTTCTTTTGGCTAAGGCGTAGCGTAGAAGAATGGAGTTTGAGACAAGAGTTAGTCTACGAGAAGTGAGCATGTCTGACGCGGGCGGCTGCGATGCGTTGGCTTCACGGATCGATCGATAGGTGTTCGTTGAGAGGGACAATCAAGGGCTAATAGTGTTTAATGCCTCTTTCTCAATGCACTCATTGATCTTGAGATCTATCGACCGCATCGCGACCGCACGCGTCCGAGACATGCCAATGTGTTCCAGAACAAATTTTGTGTTTTTGTTCATTTTAAGTGATTCTGTTCAGGAAAGAAATGCTTCGCTCTGCGTATTGCTTCCAACATTGCCAAGGACGAAGGCTGGATGGCTGAACACATGCTTATCATGGGTGTGACGCGGCCAGATGGGAAGGTAGAAGTCCTTTCCTGGGCCATAGGTCCATTTTGATAGGGCTTGGAGATTATTTAAATGGGACCCGAAGAAATTGGGAACGGATTCTAGGAACACTTCATCGCAGCCGCTTTCCCATCGGCTTGTGGTAAGACGAACTTGGCCATGTTGGAACCGGCTCTGCCAGGATGGAAGGTTCGATGTGTTGGTGAGCAAGATTTGTACTTTTCTTTCTTTTTTTTGAGACAGTCTTGATCGTACGGGACTGTCAACGGTCCTAGCACGTTCGAAGAGATTACTGTAAGTGTATAGCTATTGATATTTGTTATTTTATAGGTGACGATATTGCCTGGATGAAATTCGGTGAAGATGGCCGTCTGTACGCTATTAACCCCGAATATGGATTCTTTGGAGTAGCACCAGGTACTGACATTTTGGAGTAGTACTGGAATTCTTCTCAGAAATCCGCCATCTTAGGAACGTCCAAGAAAACGAACCCCATGGCCGTTGCCACCTTCCAAAAGAACTCGATCTTCACAAATGTTGGTGAGACGGCTAACGGCGAGTACTTCTGGGAAGGACTCGAGGATGAAATCAAGGATAAGGTAAGAAGAGGTTCAGTGACAGTCTAGCACTCAAGTTTCAATCGAGAACGCGAAAAGTTGAGTCAACTAACGCGTATGGCTCAGCTTCAATGATATCACCACTGAGAAACAAACTAAATTGATGAGAAAACTCCCTTCTGGTCACCTATCCATTTCCAAGATCCTGAAGTTCTGATGTTCTGAGCTCCCAATGCAGAGAAAGAAAACTTTAGGATCTCTCTGAAGCTGGATTCAATATAACTCTCGAAATCTTCGAGTGTGATTTCAGAACGTGGATATGATCAACTGGCTCGGAGAGAAATGGAGAATCGGCGACCCAGGAGTCTGCGCTCATCCGAACTCCCGTTTTGCCGCCCCAGCCTCTCAATGCCCCATCATCCATCCCGATTGGGAAAGCCCGAAAGGAGTTCCAATCGATGTAAGTCACTCAAAACAGACCCTTCAAAACTTGGACTAATATATATCGTCTGACTTTTCAGGCCATTATCTTTGGTGGTCGTCGTCCAGCTGGTGTACCATTGGTGTTCGAAACGAGATCGTGGTTGCACGGTATCTTCACGGGAGCCTGCCTCAAGTCAGAAGCCACCGCTGCCGCTGAACACAAAGGTAAAAAAGTTGTTTGAATAAAGCTGTACTAGTTGTGGTGCCCTATGTAGGCCTATAGGCCCTAGGTCACATCATGAACTGGGAGACACTTACGCAATCCTTAACCTTTTATGTCTTTCGAGTCTCTTTTCAGTACCATTTTGTGGAACAGCCTTTCCAGGTCCCATGAGGGCATTCCCCGTATTTCAGGCAAGACTGTCATGCACGACCCCATGGCAATGCGTCCATTCATGGGTTACAACTTTGGCCACTACCTCCAGCACTGGATTGATCTGAACAAGGATGGAAGAAAGGTTAGGAAATGGGCATGGCTGGATTTAATCTTCCCGATCTTGCAGTATCAGTCAAGAAGTACCCAAGTTTAGGTACCAAAGATCTACCATGTGAACTGGTTCCGAAGGGATGCCAACAACAAATTCCTCTGGCCTGGTTACGGTCAGAATATCCGTGTCATTGATTGGATCGTTCGCCGACTTGACGGTGAACCTGACATTGGCGTTGACACTCCTATCGGAATTGTACCGAAGAAGGTGAGTTCGTGAGAAAGACTAAGAATACAGACTATTCGACCCCTAGCTCAGCCCTCAGAATGGCTGCCAGAAGTGCATTGATATTTTTGATAGGTTTTGATTGGAGTGGAATCACTTCAACCAAAACTCACGTAGTCACCCGACAAGAAAAATTAGTTGGGGTATTTGTTTCGTAGAAGAAAAAAATCAGCAAATCCAACCTTCGGGATCTGCAGGATGTGACGCGTGCTGTCGCGTAGCGGTTCGGTTTGGGTGTTCGTCATATTGTAAATTGATTGTACCTTTACCAGTACTCACTCTATAACAAGAGCCGTTCCGAAAAGAAGTCGGTGTAGATCAAAGGGTAGCCAGCCCCCCTTTACCAGTGTGTGCCGCTACGCGACCGCGCGCGTCCCGTCCTCGTCCTGTGTCCCTTAGGGTTAAGCCGTTGAGGTAAAATTTCTTATAGCTGGCTCGCTCCTAAGCTCAAAGAAATCCTTATTTGGTCTAATGCAGGTAGTCCTCCGGTAAATCAGCTGTTCTTTAGGGCGCAATCAATGCCAGTGGCCTACCCGATATCGACTGGGATGAGCTCATGTCGGTCCCGAAAGATTACTGGACGAATGATGCCAAGGAGATCAGAAAGTTCTTGGAGGAACAGGTAAGCGTTTATTTTAACAACGGCCATGTTGAACTTTATCGTAATCAGCTTTGTTCCAGGTGGGACCAGATCTTCCGAAAGAAATCCGTGCTGAAATGGATGCCCAAGAGGAGCGTATCAACAAGCAAGCGTAAATTTGCCGCTGATCCCGTGGCTCACTGGTCTTGGTTCTCGTTGTGGTTGAACTTAGATTCGTTTTGGCTTTGTTATCTTTCTTTTTTTTCAGTTACAAATGTAGAGATTCGATGATTTTTTTCATCTGTGAATGGCATGTTCTATAATATTTATGTGTATAATAAAACAAATCTAATACATCGTCGTACTGAAACACTTCGCTTACATGGTGGCGGACCTCGCATGGTCCTTCTTGTACGGCTCATTTTTTCCCTTCTTGCAGGACTTTTCTCAGTGTTTCCTCAAGGCTTGGGAGGGTACGAATATTTGATCGTGAAAACTC